CCCTCTACCGAAACCGGGGCACGGATCTTCTTGTCGGGCCGCGATTTCTGGAGTTTGTGTAGTAATGGGTGACTTGCGGTTTCCGCATCACAAGCTTGCCTTGGAGGTAATTCGCATCCCTTTTTTTTTTTTTTTTTTTTTTAAATCTTGTTATCCTACACGATCAGCCATACTGTTCCCACCACTGCATTTACGTGACAACGTTTATTTTTTTGATTTTTGGAAGACCATCAAATAAAGCAACGCAGCCTCTTATAGTGAAGTTGTTGCTGTGGTAAGGCAAGAGTCGGTAGCAGCCCTCAGGTATTTTATCTACTGCATTCTTAACCCTCCTGGCAGCTCTGGTATTGGCTTCCAGGATAAGACTGAATGCCAGAGAAAACTGGTGATTAATCCAAAATGTAGAGCTCTTCTCCCGTGGCTCTTCATTATTTCACATCTTCAACATTTATTTAAATGTTTTAATAATCGGTGAAGGTTTTGAAGTGTAACTGTAAGTGTGAGTACTCATGGTACTCAAATTCATCCATGGTACTCAAATGAATTGTGAGAAATAAACTGGTATTTGTTGTGCTGGGTTGTTTCTGTCATGGGAATGTGTGTAGTATTCCTTTAATAAGTAATCTGAAGATAAGAAATTACCGTGAAGGTAAACTTTCCCGGCACGTAAACATAACATCATCAGCAGTTTCATGGATGGAAGAGTCAATAACTAGATGGGTTAAAAATGTGTATTTACCTGACATTTAAATGTAACTTAAACACTTTGATTCTGTCTTAATGGATTGCACTTGCTCAATGACCAGTGTTGACACTTAACGGCCTACTAATTCCGCTTTCTGTAAGCTCTTCCACAGCAAATTATGTCTTTCGAATACTTCAGGCCCTTGCTCATGTATGTAGGATCTTAGATGCATGCTTCTTCTGTGTCTTCCAAGTACTTCTTGCCCTGCGGTGCAAGTCATTCATTGGGAATTTTAGTATAGTAAACTGGTTTGTGCTTGTCTTGCACAAGCAAGCTCGATTTTTGGCTGCATAATCAGGCATGTTCTTTTTATGATATTAAATGTGTAGTAGAGAAAATACTGGATTACATAAGATTTTTGCAGAAGCACCGAAAGTGATTTTTGCATCGCACTGTTTTCATTATCTGAACTTCTATTCTGTAATGTTCCGAATAAACCTGAGACTTGCTCTGATTAAGAATTAACACTTTCTTTAAAGTGGAAAAAGTCCGTTGTGGTTTGATAGGGGATAGCTGTTGTCGTTCGGAGGACATCACTGTATGACTTAATCCTTGGACGTGATACACTGGGCTGCTTTTAGTTGTAAGGCTTTAGATAATATTAAGGGATTTGGTTTTGTTTTTTACTTTTCAGTACTGTAACTAGTTCTTTAGTATGATGCTTCTGTAGTGCTGCTGCTGATCTGATTATTACAGCATTTTCACTGTTGGATAGTAATGCTTGGGCTGTAAAATATTTGCCCAAAAAAGGTCCAATGCAGCAGACAGTTGCAGTTCTTTAAATGAAAACATGCTGTTTCTCAAGCAATATAGGAGTATTTGATGAAAAACTTGTAGAAACCACCTTTACAGCAGATCTTTTCCAGTAACATTCTTAGGATAAGATTGTTTTTCAGCCTCTGCGATATAATGTCACCTAAATTTGGGAAGGACAGGAAATCCTACACGTCCGTGGACTGCCTGTTGTATTGGGTCAAGCACAGGCTGACAAATGAAGAACCAATTTTTTTTTTTGCCATCTCAGTTATATTGTACATCTCTTTGGGCTGTGTTAGGACCAAAGTTTACGTTGCAAAGACCCATCACAGAAAATGACATGGCCAGATTCAGGTTTCAGGAAAAAAACTGTGATTTTCTGGGAGGCTTGAAGAAGTGCTGGACTTTGGTTTTCCAGATGTCTTAATCTTATTTATTTAGCAGGTTTTGTGTTATTTTAGGTTTTCGTGTTAGTTTGGTGGGCATGTCCATATTTAATGTTGGGGCCGAAAGATAACAAAGATCAGGAGCTGCTTAGTTTCCACAGCTATGTTTTATGATAAGATTTTGGACATGTTTACTATTCCTGTTCTTGAATGTATGAACCAGAACTGTTCTGTATGCAAGTATAGACACCGATGTCTTCATTCGGAGACAGCCAGAATTTCAGACTATACTGAACGTTGCCTCAGAGCACCTTCTGCCTGGACAAGCTGAGTGAGAGGAGAGCAGTAGGCAGGCTTCACGGGGGGGAGCTGAAGATGCAAACAGCTCTCTGGTCATTCTGCTCCTTTGTGGGACTGGTCGTGAAGCTGCTGGGGCAGCTCTGGGATTTTTGCAACCCGTGCCAGCGCGTCAGGTTATCCGTTGGCTCACGCTCAAAACTTAACTCCCCATGTACAAGAGCCGTGCCTGAAGGACCTGCAAGTCACGTGCAGTTCGAGAGCTGCTGTTTAGACTTGTGTTTTGGATGGACTCACGTGCGTTTCTGTATCAACTAAGATTCCTTCTGTGAAAGATTGCCCTTCTCCTTTTTTAAAATGTGATAATGTCTTTAGAAAAGAGGGAAGTTTTACGTAATTGGTTTAGCTAGTGGACTTTTAAGAGGCCTGTAAAAATGAATTATGAAGAGGAAGAAAAATAGCATAGTAATCAGACTTGAAAGATTCTGTAGATCAGTGTTCAGTTTTAAAATCTTGGTGATTCTTCACATTCCTTTACTATTTTCAGGCTAAAGTATATGATTTCATATGTGTGTGATCAGTGGTCAAAAGCTTTTATTAAATAGTTACAGTTACCAGCATGTCTTTTTTTTCTTTATCTCTGAATGCTTAACCTGGTGGCTGATACCTTTTGTAATATTTTAGATGATGTCACAGTCACACCAAGAAAACACAGTTTTCTCCTGAAAATCATGTGCAAATGTTAAGCTGTACTTTTCATTGATGTTTTCACTGGATGCGCCACAGTTGCAACGTGGCTTGTTTTGATAGTGACACATTTTGGCTACTTTTTATTTTTCCATTTTTATTTCATCTTTAAGATTTTATGTATTAGCAAAAGTGGTTTGCATAGTAGTGCAGTTTAAAGTTTTGTGCAAATTAATGCTTCAGAAAACTTGGAGTGAGCTAATTGAAGGCACCAGCTTTCAAGAGAGAAACTCTTTAATATTGGAAACAACCATACTGATAAAATTATAGTATGCTACAGTTCTATATGACACATTTTTCTGTAGATGATGTTGTACAATGATGTACACAGGTCAATAAGTTGTAGAAACTCAGGTGCTGAGGGTTATTAAGGTATTGTAGAAGGTAAAAAGGTGATCTGTGTAGTTAGAATGTGATCTCCCTTTAATATAAAGAACACTTGATCTTGTCCATAAATTTCATGTTACGTTATCACTACTAGGAAATAGTATTCCTGAATGTCTTCATCATTGTGGAAAATCACAAATTTTTAACTCATTGCCATTAAAACTGCTAGTCATATTTGGAAGTATTTCCAGCTTGTGAAATTGTCTCAAAAGAAAAATCAGGGCTGTGTGACAGTTGTTCATTGTCAACATAGATGTTCAGCAAGCAGACATGGACGACAAGTAGTAAGAGTACAGTTGTTTAACCATAGACTGTTTTTAAAAGTTATATCGGTGTAACTATTTCAGTTGATGAACTGATGACTTACAGAAATGGTTATTCTAAGGAGATCACCAGTATTACTATAATTAGTCTTTTTTGTATGAATAGCTGCTACTATAAAATACCTTTATTCCTGCCTAATTGCATTAAAAGCAAGCTATGTATCATCTCAATTACACTAGTTTTGCTGGAGTGGTACAAATTTATGTTGCAGACCAACTTTATGCCTTTAGGTTGGGCAGTTAAATCTGTAAATGTTTGCTTTCCTCAGATTTCAGAAATGTGTGCTTTAGCGTTGCTCTTGCTGTGGGGTGATGAGATACTATTTAACTAGTTCCCAAGTCTTTGCTGTAAAGCAACTGAGAAAGTACGCGTACGTACCGTGACCTGCTAAAGTTCCTGTTGGTGGTGCACCATATAGCTCAAAACTAGACAGCCTTGACTTGTAGGCAGTTCTTCTGTGGCTTGTCGTTGTTAGAAATCACGTAGAGAAATCCTGTATTACTCTCATTCCCTTCCCTTCGCACCTCTGGTGTATGAGGTGTGCTCTGCCGCAGGCCCCGCACAGTTAGTGTTTACCATAGCCAGGAGGAGAGGAATTGCCGTTTTGAGTTGGTGTGCTACTGCCAGCCCTCCTTAGAGCTCTAAATGATATTCTGTTGCAGAGAGTGGGTTGCAGTCTTGTGTTCAGTCTTCAGGATTTGGAATATGTTACCAGTTTCTTTTTTTGAAAACAACTTAGATTTGTTCACGGTTTTGAACTATAATCTGAAGGCTTTTTTAATTGCAAATTAAAAATGTAAGATGTTTTTATTCTTACAGGAAGGAAGAAACAGAAGCTTGCCAAAGAGAGAGCAGGGCTTTCCAAGGTAATACTGTGTTCAATAATGCAGTGCTATTGTGGAAGGCGTTTCATTTGTATTATTTGTAAGATTTGTTTAAAGATCTGTTTTGATTCCAGCATTACAAACACTTCTGCAAATATGCAGTCTTTAGTTTTTTCTAATGCTCACAAATAACCATATGAAACGGTTGTTCCTTTTTTGTGTCAGAAAGAGGCCTTGTACTAGAAAGTACAACATTTACTGTGTGACTTGATAGTGTTTTCCTCTTTGTAGTATGTGCAAGGACTTTTCAGACTTAAAAAAAATCATTGATGGGAACACCTGTAACTGAACTTAATAGTATTTTGCTATAAGTAGTTGATTTCTCTTTTCTTATCATCAGTGGATCCCAGAAGAAAAGATAAATCTATCTTAACCAATTGTAAGAAATATAGTTGTAATAAACATAACGCACTTTGGAATTTATATTTGCTACAAAATTGTGTACTTAGTAAACTGAGTAGAGGTATTTTCAGGCTCTGTCTCTCCACAGATTTGTGATGCAATGATACGAGACCTGAATCTGATTTTCAAAAACATTCTGCCTACATTTAACTTAGTGGTGACACTTTTAATTTTTTTTCCCATTTCAGTGTAACAGTATGGTGTTGTGCGTGTTTGATTTCAGCTGAGAATGTTTTCTGCTAACTTGTTTGTTAACTGATGTTTAAGGGCCAACTTCAGTTTTACTGTGTGTCTTATAGTTGCCTGATCTGAAAGATGCTGAAGCAGTTCAGAAGTTTTTCCTAGAGGAGATTCAGCTTGGCGAGGAACTACTAGCTCAAGGTAATAGCATAATTTTTTTTGAAGGGTAAGTTGTAAAATAATTATTCTTTACCTTTGCTGGAAGATGACTTCTATATACTAAGATCTTTTGGGGAGTCAAATTCACTTAGGAAAATCTGTTTACTTGTTTCTAACCTTCTGTGGTCAGAAGATCCAGCAAGGGAGGGGGAAAGAAAAATGTGGATTGATTCTCAGTAATTTAGTCCACTGTTAATGGGATGTTTTATGTAAATACTTTACAACGTGGAAGAAAGTTGATTTCAAAACATTATGATTTGTCATACAGGTGAATATGAGAAAGGTGTTGATCACTTGACCAATGCCATTGCTGTGTGCGGACAGCCGCAGCAGCTACTACAAGTTCTACAGCAGACTCTTCCACCACCAGTGTTTCAAATGCTTCTAACTAAGCTCCCTACAATCAGCCAGGTATGTGAAATGTTCCCTGTTGTGTTGGTTCGAAAATAATACAACTACTTCTCTTATTTGCTACATCAGTCACGAGTCTTGGGTTTAGTAATATGCTTTTTGTGTATGTTCAGTAAGAGTAAAAGAAACTTTTTTTCACCTGAAACATTAAAAAGTGTATATGAAAAATACCATGTTGCGTTAATAGCAAACAAGGTAAAGTAGAAATACAAACCTTCTCTCATGTGTAGGGTATGCTAAGCTATTCTAAAGTAGAGACATCTGACTGCAGCTCTGATACTATAAGTGGATCCAGTTTCCCAGATACAAGTTGGGGGATCAGGAAAGCGGTAACTTTCTTGCACTGGGTCTTGAGTTTTATTTTCTTAATTATATATATCTACAAGTGTCTGTGCATGCTATAAAAGTCCATTAGAATTAATCTGTTGCTTTGCTAGCCTGTTGCTTCTGGGCCAGCTATAAACGCAAAATGTTAACTAGTGCCAGAACACATGACAGTTTTGAAGCTTGGGGGTTTCCCTGATGATAAAAGTGTTTGTAGCTCTGTGTATACCATACTCTCCCTTTTTAAACTGAGTGCTGTGCAGGTAATGTTGGTAATATGCTAGCAGGTGAGTCTATTGTAAAATAAATAATACGATTTATGTTCTTACTCCCTAATGGTGTTACCTCACATAAAGCAGAGACTCAGTGCTGTGCATCAGCCAGCTCTCCTTACAGCTCAGGCCTTGTTACATTTTGGTTTAAGGTCCATGTAGTTAGCAAATACACTGAAAAAGTGTCAGGTGCACAAAATATAAAGGGCTGGGGAAACAACGAAGCAAAAATGTTTCCTTAGAGAACAGTGCCAAAAACCACACAGAGGTCATCACCGGAGGCTGACAGGATGTTATTTATCTGACTTTGGCTTTGTTAGGCATTGCACGGTACGTAATTTCCACGGAACTGACTTCAAAAACTTATCTCAAATAGATTGCCATTTTTAATATTAAACAGTTTGCTCAGTAATTACACTGCCTAATGTTCAGTGTAAAATTACGTTGCTTGATAATCAGTTGCCTATTGTCAATTTTATGTAATTGTGAATGAGTTTTTCTCCTTCTTACAGAGAATTGTAAGTGCACAGTGCTTGGCTGAAGATGATGTTGAATGAGGTCACACCACAACAGGGGGAAAAAATGTTTTCTTACCCCAGAAGATGAGCATCATTAGGGGGATAAAGGGGCAAACATAGTAGTTAATGGACTGTGTACCACATCGGGTTCTACCAGAGTTAAAATTAACTTTGTGTAGGTGGGTTTCCAGGATTTTATTTATTATCCCAGTGAAAAGTGTATTTTGATAAGAATTCATTTTATAAATACACTGTGTTGAGTTATCAAAGTATCACTAACTTCATTATTATTCAAATATGCAGTTGTAATGTTGTACATATAAAGATATAAAACTACAACCTATTAAAAACCCAATGCTCATTTTTGAAAAAAACAAAGTTATGGCAATAAAGATTTATCTGCACTTGTGTGTCCCTATAGTACTACTTTAAATTTCAGAACATTTTGGTGTCAGAGCAAATGATCAAAAAAATTACAACATTAAAATTTATTTTTAATGTTATGGCTGGTCTTCCAATGCTTTTAATCAAGTTTAAAACCTTGTGTCTTTTCCTGAGAAAATAGACATGTGATCATTTAAACAGTAACCGATCACCTGAGAACAAGATGCAAATCAGAATGGTAATAGATGACTGGCTGTGGAAAGAATGAGAAATCCATTTTTGTCAGGAACAATAACATCTAATGTGATGCCATCAAAACTGTATCTGGCAAATATGAATGTTCTGTTAATGCAGGTGTCTGAAATAAAGCTGCTTGGAATAGAACCTGAGGCAGATTGTAAGAGCACAAAGGTGGTTTTTTGGAGCGCTTGAAACCTTTTTGCAAGATAGGCAGTTAACATTTCAGTCTCTAGTCATCAAGACTGAAGAAAATGGTTGTTAACAGTCTTTGGCATTTGCCTTTAAAAAATCACACTGATAAGGTAAGATGATGATATCCCCAGGCTAAACTAGCTAAAGCTAATGGAATTAGAAGGGTGTTGTAAAATTTCAGTATGGCGTGATACTGTAAACTTGAATTTAGTTAAGTTTTCCTTTGCTAGTGGAAAGGAGGCAGGTAATACACACACTTGAGTGAGTAGCAGAAGCATAATTCTGAAAGCCAGTTTTCCATGGAAACGATGTTCTAAATGTCCAAACAGATTGGCTTCTACAGTTCTCTGCTTTTGTGCTACCACCGCTCAGGTGGCAGAAAAAACAATTAAAAATGTAGCTTTATATTTTTGGCATGGTGGCTTGTTCTAACTTAAGGAGGAGAATGCTTCGAGGTGTCTTTCAGACCAGCTGATAGTCTGTGCTAATGAAGCTGATACATTAATAGTAAGGTACTTGGTGGCAGAGTCCAAGTAGAGGTGAGATATGCTGAGAGCACTTTAGCCAGCATTCCCATCTGTCTCTGCCTCATTTCCGCCTGGTGTCAGGTTCTGTAAAGGCAGATTCTTCCATACCATAGCTCTCAATGTTTCAGAAATTGCCCCTCACAGCATTTTTGAGAGGTGAAGCTGATAGCGTATGGTCACCTAGCAGTCAAATACCTGAGTTTGGGAGTAGAAATGGCTCTTACTGAGTCAGTCTGCTTAGATGTTTTGCCATGGAAGGACTTCCCCTTAACCCCTTGAAAACAATTTCTCAAGATTTGAATCTTTCTGTAATGTGACAAATACTAAAGTTAGTGGCTGGCATGAAAAAAGATTTCTTGAACAGCTGGCTGTAATTTAGTCTTTTTGTTGTGCTTGAATTGTTCAGGCAGTGTAAGGTAAAAATAAAACTTAGTAGAAATAATCTTCAGGTGACAATGGCCGGCTTGCTCTTTTAATTTATTTTAGAGGGACAAAGTTACTCTGCACCTAGAATACTTAATACCGCAAAGTTGCAGAAGGTTCTATTTTTAATGAGTACAGTGGGTTTTTTTGGAGCAATTTTCTAACCCTTAAAAGTAAAAAGTATGAATTCATAGGTCATGCTGATGGAACTGTTAGCATATTTACCTGATGTCCTTGCTGGTGGTGGTTGCTTCAGTGTAATATATTTTTGCTTCAGCTTTTAACATCACCTTAAGGTAAATCAAACTCTTCCACCCCACCTTGAAAAACAAACCTAAGCAGTGTAAGACAAAAGTGGCACCCTTTCTTCAAACCTGAATAGTTTTGTATACTTTTTGGTATAATGATGACAATGTGAATTCACAATTTAGCTTACAGCAAAGCTCTCCTGAATTAAGTATGTTTTAGCAAAGCTGGGTGTCAAATCTGATTTTGATGGAAGACTTGCTGAGAGTCTGATTATGTCTACGAATGGTCATTGCTTTAATAGACATCACAGACACGCATATTACTCTAACCCGTTTTGGTTTTCTTGATCCTGCAAAGTTAGATGCAGACAAACTTTTAGATAGCATAGGTTTAAATGAAGCCTTAAGTGCAAATTTTTTCTCATATTTGATAACCCAGAAGTATCTGGTTAGTATGCTAGAGCAAGCTCTGATACCTGTTTTGAGTGCCTTGGCTAATAGGGTGGGAATGATGAATCCTTTTAACAAGGCTTAAGATTATTTGATTTTTTTTTTCCAAAATCTCCTGATGAAGCTATTACCTTCCAAACTGTGACAGTCTGACACTGGTGCAGCTAGCGTGCACAGCCCACAGATGTGGAAGGCTGTAATTTAGAACTGGCTTCAGACATAAGCAAAGCGCAGGTCATCGGAAGTGCAGTGGTAATTACAGATGTTATTGCATCAGTAGTAGTAATGCCATTGCATTAGCTGTGCGTAGTACCATATTTCTTTTCACTTGTGCCAATTTTAAAAAAGGTGGAAGTGAGCCATTCCAGTTGTGGATTTGCTGCTGCTGAGCTCACAATCCTTGGTGAATAAGATCTGTAATCTTACTTTACTGCAGGTAAAACTACTAATCTCCCAGAAAGAGCCATCTTCCCTTCTTGGTGCCCCAAGAACAAGGCATTTGTTTTCAGCACTGAGAGTATTTCTCATAAAGAAAATCAGAGGTCTGATAGTTTTATCTTGGGAAGTTTCCTATCATCAGAGGCAGCTTTTACAGAAAAAAACCCAGCTAGTTTCATGATCATGCAGGACCACCTTTGATGTCTCACCATTCAGTTTTCTAGATGGAATCGAATCCAAAACCGGAGTTATCAAGCACATGCTGAATCATCTGGCACTAATTTCCTTACCCTGGGGGATGACAGAATATTATTGCTGCCCTGAACTTGAAAAATGGAGAAGTCCCAGCCCTGCTGTGTAGGAGGCCAGCCAGCCAGCCATCATCAAAGTCAAGCTCCAGCTATTTATGCACCCAGAAGAATCCTTCTAAAGTTTCACTTGTATGTCTGTTGATGGTGTGTTTAAAGTCCCTTAGGCTGAACAGTGGCCCTCCATGACCATTGTGTTAAAATTAACATGAGTTAAACTTCAAGGGAATCTTTGAAGTGGTCACTAAGTGCTTTTAGCGAGTGTTTCAAAGGCATGTTGTACTGTACACCCATGCTTCTGCATTTTTGAACATACACATATGAAAAGGGCTGATGTGAAGAAAAAAAAAAATCTTCAAGGCTTCTGTTATACCCGAGTCTTGGTTTGGTTTCAATTTGTGTTTTTACGCTGACCAGTATAGCTTATGGTCTCCTTTATGCAGTCACCAAAAAAAGCCTGCTGGCACAGCAGTCAAATCTGACCAAAAGCCTGTTGGAAAGAGCTGAAACTTGTGCTTAGTTCATGAGGTCTGGGCTAGCTTTTATCAGGGGCGCTCCAGAAACTGCTTCTGGTGCAGGTAACAGTGCTGCCTTTCTGCATTTGTACCAAAAGAGAGCTTCCCAAAGAGGAAGATGTGGACATCTGATGCTGTTCTTGGAGGGCAGAATTTGTCATGTCCCATGTGTGAGTGAAGCCATAGAGAACAGCTGACCCTCCCGTGATATTTCTGTACCAAACTGTCCAGCGTACTGGCACTAGGTAGCGGGCAGCTTTTTCAAAGTACAGTGGTTTCCATATGTTTCTGAAAAGAAAATCCAGGTTCTCACTTCTTTCCCTGCAGCAGGGGCTTACAGGTGCTAGTTTTACTAGCAGAAATATTTACACAACATTTGCTGGACATCTTTTGATAAGATCCCTACTCTGTTTTCCAATCACTGCTCTGACCAACTAATCACAAACTCTTAAAGGCCTCAGGGCTATAAGCTTTTGACTCCAGACGTATACTTCCAGTTCCTCTTTTGTAAAGATCAGGCCTTGATTTAATGGGTTGACAGATGCCTGTCCTCCTACAGTGCTTGCTCACAATTACCAACATTTCCCTTACACCCTGAGGATGTTCTTGACTCCTCTTTGGGGTGAAAGGATGTCCCTTGGTGCTCACCCATTGTGTGACAGTTGCTGAATGGAGTGTTAATGCGCAGCGTTGCTACAGCCTGCAAATCTGTGCAGATGGTCCATGCTTTAAGGCAGTTACGAGTGGCTTTCAGATATGAAATTTCTACTGTACGTGGAGGCAGAAACCAGCTGAAGTCAGGTAGTTCTGCCTCTTCACAACTTGGACCCTTAAAACTAAAACCCAATTTGGTTATGCTATCATTTATTTGAGCAGGTCTCAATCGAAACAGCAGAGGGCAGTTTTGCACACGTGTTCTGTGCAAGCTCATCCTGCAAAATCCTAATTTTTAGAATCTTCCTGTCTGGTGAGGTGATGCAATGCAGCATTTTGTCCAGACAAATTTGGTACGGTGTATAAGACAGGATCAGTGGGGCAGCAGTGGCATGTGTTTCTACTGATACCTAACTTTGGCTTTTTAAGTCCTGTCTGTTTGGTTTGTTGTGACGACATGATTAGAAGGTGATTAGAAGGATTTCCCTTTTCTTTCTCTCCATCCCTCAGCACAAACCAGGTGTATAGATAAGCCAGCTGCATTGTACAACTTAAATTCTGCAACAAAATGCAACCAAATCTCATTCCCAGGCATGCATGAGAAGACTTCCTCTGCCTAGCTGTGATTTTTCTGGATGAGCTTTGCTAGCTGAAGTGCACGGAGAGCACCTGTAGCAGGGCTGGCAGAGAAATCTGCGTCCTGAGACTCTGCTGGCAGTTGGACAGTTGGCTGTGGCGGCCTGGGTGAGGAGGGTCAGCAACAAAAAAAAACCAAACAAAAAAGGGCAAGATGTTACAGGTTCGTGACAGGATGCCATTTTGTTGCTGGTTGAATTTCGGCTTAAGGTGGCAAAATCTACTCACCCTGTTGCAATCTTGTAGCTGGCGTGAAGTGAGCTGATGGGGTCCCTCTCATGCCTCGGCAACAGCTATTTGTATCGTAGAGGCACCCCGGCTTCAGACCGCATGGTAACTACTCCTGCACCTCAGAAGTGGTTTTTCTCTGCTTCCTGGGTTGTGTTTGCAGGGGGAAAGCGTATGTTTATGCCATGCAAGTAAATGGAAGTTTTCAGCCCTTGCAGCTCTCGATCAGCATTTTTCCAAACGTTCAACTTGTTAACAAG